TTCAGCAGACAAACTAAGCACGTCCACGAATGGAAGATCACGATGAACACAATTACAATCAGAAACCTCATCACAATAGCTAAAATCCAAACAACAAACAACCCAAGCCATCCGAAGAAAAATAGGTCCTTGTCCTTGCTCGGCTCTCCATGACAAGAGCGTCATTCACTGCATGTGCTTTTTAAGAGTTATGCGGTACAGTTAGTTGATTTGATGTCTCTGATCAAAAACCGCAATCCTCATTCTGCTGTCGTTATGACGGTTTGGCCGGGAGTTGTCTTTTCACAAATCGGTCCGATTATTTTATTCGATGTCATCAGAGAACCACACCCTCCTTTCATGGTAATTCGTAAACCAGGTGGATGATTCAAATTGTGTGTTCTAAAATACTCCCTTCGAGTAATTATGCAGCCGACCTATCGGGAGGTAAAGCCGGTTTCACAACATTACCAACGATTGTTTTCCTATTGAACTTTGTCGCTTGGGGTTTCTGAACATATCACTCTGATTATACTACTCAAAACGTAACTCGAAGCCTAACTCGAATCCAAACTCGAGCATACCGCTTTCCCGAAGGGTCAACAGACTTTGTTCTTTGCGTGCTGTTTAGTGGAGACTAAATTTGCATTAAGTAGTTCAAAATAAAGAGGAAACAACTAATAACGTTAAGTTAAGGTTTTATCACAGGAAAGATTGAGTAGGATGAATTAGCCTATATGAGGGTATAGATTTTGAAAATTCACAGTGACTGCTGCTTATGAGTTAAACAAGTTAATGTTCAACCATGGATACGATCCATACCTCTCCAGCTGTCATCACCGAATACGTGATGTGTTCAGGAATATTCGAATACTCAACTATTACCCCTACGTACTGGCATTCTAAAGGCATTCATAACATTCAAGGTCCTCAACGTGCCATTCGGGTGTGTAAATGTCAATCAAAGTGTGACAGAGGGTGTGTAATACTCGTATTTGCATATTTTCCAAGACACGCACCTCTGTCACACGCTTTAGTCGTCCTGCGTTCCAGCCGCCGACGCTCCACTGGAAGAAAATATCCACGTATTCATATTTATGCCAACAATGTTCAATAGAAAAGTAATCGATGGTAATGTTGTGAAATCTTTACCTATCGATAGGTCGGCCGTGTGATTTCTCGAATGGAGACGGTATTTTGGAGCAATCGATTTGAATTCGGAAAAACAGTGTCAATTTTAACAGGATTTCTTAGGTGTACTTCAGGTTACCCGTGGTTAGATAAAGCCACGCGTCGTAAGAGCAGTGTGTACCGCTCTGCATCCCTGCGAATTTGGTCCCAAACAACTGAGCTTTTAGTGCAAGGATGACAAGTGTGTGTAGTGGCGAACGCTCCAGCTTGGATATCAATTAGCTAGGGTAGGCCCCATTTTCCTCTTCGACGTATAGCTTTTTATCTTCCCCATTAAGGTTCAGACAACACTGAAAACACATTTGGGTCTACATTGGCGTTCTTTATTAGGCTTTCACCTCTTGACAAACATTTCAATATCTATGCAAAAAAACAACTTATCTTATTACCTTAATTGTGCAGTTAAAACATGTTTATGCAATGAAGCGGTAGTTAAAGGCTACATACTAATTATCGATCAAGGGCACCTAATTTCACCAAAACGCTAGAGTCCAAATAAATTTCTTATCTGTAACCGATGACGAACACATCGCTCCAATCTTCCCGTTCTTGCAATTTTCCTGCTATGTGCTTGATCTTGCTCTTCTTAGCACCATTCGGGTCGTAGGCGGGAACCAATATCACTCTTAAGTTCCTGTCGCTCGTCTTTATCGGAAACCACAGGTTGGCGGAGTTGATAACGTTCATGTCCTGGCCAGTGGCTATGTTCATGTACTGGCTGTAATCTCTGCCATCTTGGCTTGTGTAAATATTGTAGTAGTATCGTTGAAAGTCGCCTTCTCCTTTCGAAGTGATGAATGTATAAATAAGGACCTCTTCTGCTCCGTTTGGAACGGCTTTATCGAGCGAGAGGACAATTGGCTCCTCAGTGACAGTTTCTGGAAGTTTGCCGATAGACACGGGATTTTTTATGGGCACCCAGTCACGCTGCATATTTTCGTTGGCCTTGGGATTGCACAGAACTTTCTTAAACTAGGAATAGTTTAGATGTGCAAAATCAAATTGGGGAGAGCGCGTTTTATACGAAAAGACAACTCCCAAACTGTCATAATGTCAGCCAATGAGGTCTCATCCACGTGGTTTACGGTTTTCAATCAAAGGTTGGTGTGGCTCTCTGATGACATTGAATCAAATGATTGGACCGATTTGTATGAAAAGACAACTCCCGGCCAAACTGCCAAATATTTTGAAAGCCAATGAGGATTATGGTTTTTAATCAAAGTGGCATCAAATCAACTAATTGCGTCACATAACTCTTAAAATAACATGTAGTGAATGACGCCCTTGTCACGGAGAGCCGAGCAAGGACAATGACTTATTTTTCTACGGATGCGGCAAGACTTGGTGGGTTTGGAAGTTAGCTCAAAGTTGTTTGGGTTTTAGGTATCTTTTCATTATCATGTTTGATGAAGTGTTATCAAGTGCTCAATCGCTCTATCTTCTCGAAAGAGCTAACAAAAGTTAATTTATAAGTGTAACTGTTTTGAATGAACTACAAACTTCCTAGTGGATTTCATCCAATATCTTGCCAAGGTTTGAGTTCAACTCAAAACAATTGAGTTTCTTGCCGTTTTATCTTATTCAAGATTTTGAAAGGTTGGAAAATTCCACTGATCGTCAATTCCACGATCTTTACCCATTTTTTTCGAGGTAAAACACTCGACAACACTCTTCCTTCCGAACATGAAAATGGTATTCGTAGTAATGAATACTACTTGAGCAATAGTGAAAATAAAGCCTTTCAAAAGGCTTATAGGTTTTTGCGAACCCATGAACGCAATAATATGGTTCGGAGTTCATGCTTCGTCTGGCCAGCGTAGATCTTTACCTAATCTTTTCAAGGGCCATCAAAGAAATCAAATCGTTTGACCGTTTCTTTCATTGACATAGCTTTCCTTTAGATAACAGAGTCTTCGGAAATCAGCCAAGTGGTAATTGAATAGTTTTACCGTGTTGCGTCGCCTCTTACACAGTTCAGACTTGTATGCAAATTTTGCTTGTCCGACGTGCTTCAGTTCCCCTTTTCTCTTCAGGAATCCCAGCCTGCAACCTCCACTATTTGTTGAATACAAATGGCTGAAGGTTGCGTCTGCGAAATGGAGTGGCGGTTCAGAGCTAGAGACTAGTTGTAAAAAGCATTGTGTTCTATTTAAACATTGAAGGAGTCCAATTCAGCTACAGGTTCTAGAACCGACGAAATATGAATCTAAGGTAACTAGTAAAAACAAAATACAGTGGTTTTACTGCAAATTTACTTCCCCAAAGCACCTCTTGACTCGTATGCAAATGTTGTTTGCAAGTCGTGCTTCAGTTGCGCTTTTACCTTCGGGATTTTTTGAAAAGAACATTAAGTCAGCAATTTTGTCACCAATTTTAGAAAAAAAGAATAAAAAGAACGGCTGAAAAAAAATTATCGAAACTATGCATTGACATGTTCAGCTTGAGGAGCAGGCGTCTTTCTTAGGATACCGAGTGTGTATTACGTGCTTGTGTGCAATAACCCCAAACAACATGGAACGTTTGACCTTGATTAGATTTTGGACTGAATCCAACGTAAACAATACCTCCATTCTCAGCTGCAACTTCAGAGAATTATCACATTTGCGCTTATTTTAAAGAATTACCAAATCTTTATTTCTCTGAGAAAGTTATCAAATCTGTATCTCATCTTACAAAGTTATCGAATTCATGCTTTTCTGAGAAATTCTTGATGTAATGAAACGTTCGTGATATTTTGTCTTTATAGAACAAAGAACTTGGTTGTATCGTTTGCATGATGGGCTGTCATTTCAAAAAGGAACCAAAGACAGAATTAAAGGTAACTAGACGCATATCTGCGTGAACTCGGGCGTTCAATATCGTACATCTGGAGTTATCTTTAAGGGACTGCCATATTGCCATCGTTACTGTCATCACGCAATTTCATCATTACCGGTCACGAATAAGTCTACTTGTGTTTATTTTTGTCTGCTGGAATGTAATGAATGTTGTTATGGTACTAGACAACAATCAAAATAATATATTACCATATAGGAGTAAGTTCCTGTAGATGCCAAAGGTTGAAATTCAAGGACTTTTCAATGACTTTAAAGGCCAAGTTTTAGAAAATTGAAGGACCACTTTTGGAAAGGTTTGCCTAAGCAGTTTTAAAATAATTTAATATCAATTCTCAGCTTTTCCATGAAAGTACTCTAATTTTCAACTTGTAACTGCTAAAGAAAAAGTATTGCAACAATCAAGCCTTAGTCCTCAAATTTAAGTACTTTCAAGGCCTTGAGTTTTTAATTTTTAAATTCAAGCATCTTCAAGGACTTTCAAGGCTTTTATACCTCAGGCGTTTCCTTCGGAAAGCCCGAGTAATGAATTTTTCTCGGTCGCGCCTGCTTAGCGTTAGGTATAAACTTAAATTTGCCTTTTAAAGATGGTGTACTTCTGTCATAGGAAGATATAACAAAGCGCGAATGCTAAATGCAATTCCTCTGTCGCTTCGGGTACATCAGTTACTCTGTACAGATACATCGTGTGTGTTAATGTTTCATGAAATGCTCCTTTTTTTTTTTTTTTTTCGTATTAATCTCATCGTAAACAAAGATTCGGCGGAGCTTTCTACAATATTGAAGACCTTTTTCTTTTAGTAGTAACGTGATTACATTGTTACTGCTCTTTGTCAGCAACTGTGCTTACCGATAAGATTTTGCAAAAAATATCGAGTTGAATAATGCAGAGTTACAA